TTTTTGGGCAGGCGGTGTTTGCTGTGCGTGAGGTGAAGGCTGTGGAGTGTGGGGAGATGCCCCTCTCCTTGGTGGGGCTGCCCAGGCTCGGGAGCTGTCACCGCCATGGGGCTCCGCAGGAAAACCAAGAGCCCGGCGGTACTGAGCCATGAGTTCGTCATTCAGAACCACGCGGATACCGCATCCTGCCTGGTGATGGGCCTCCTGCTGGGGCTCGTGTTTGAGGTACTCGGCGGGGTGAGGGGGGGCGGAGGTCGGGGGTTGCCGAGTCGAGCAGCACCTGGTCCTGCTGTGGGGCAGCCGCGGCGCCCTTGGCTTCCCGCTCTGGAGCCTCCCCAGTACATCCCTCCCGTTCGCTTCAGCCTCGCCGCCAAGCAGCTCTGTCCTACCCCCTCCGCCTCCGTCTTTTTCCTTCTTCCCTGCAGGGTTATATCCCCGTTTTTTCTCGTCCCCGACGCCTAACTCCGTGACACCCTGCTCGGGCACCCTCCTCTCAGTGTCTCGGGTGTCTTCCGAGTGCGGCAAGTTTAATTTCTCTCTGTCCCGCCTCAGCTCACACGCTCCCTCTCCAGTGCCTTTACGGAGTTGTCTTTGCCAGCTCCCGCTATCAATATGCAACCCCCTCTCTTATCCCGTTAGGTTATGTTGCTGCTCTCTTCTAGTCCGGTTTTCCTTTGTCTCTGCTATGTTTCATTCCTAGCACCCTCCCATAAGCTCCCTTTTATTCAGTCCAGTGTCACGAAGCTCCTCAAGTTCCCTTGCTTAAAACAGAGTCGGTTTATGTCTTTTTGTTGTCCCTGTTTCCTCCTTCCCCCCCCCGCTCAAAAGTCCACGCGGTAAAGCAGTTAGGAGCCCTGTTATAAGGAGGGTTTCAGACAGTCTGTTGTTTTGAGTACGCTCGACCAGATGGCAGTTCAAACCTGCTAGTCACCCTTTTGCACCACTGCTCAGTCTATTGCTGTTTGGCTTAGCTCCCTTGCAATGGAAAATCTGAAGAAAAATGTGAGATTAGGCAGTCTTCGGAATTCTTCTTTGCCTTTGTATTTGAAAGTTATTGCAAAGTTTATTTCCACATGCAAACCGGTTATTAGTTTCTGGGGTATTGGCTTAGGCATCTCTCTTAGGCATCTTTTTCCTGCTTTTGGGACAAAAGCTTTGTGCGTGTGCGTTGCTACATGAATATCTTGTGTTGGTGTTGAGTATTGGATGAGAGTTTAAATTCTGGATAGGCAAATGCTTTACTGAAATGCTATTGTTACTACAACTTAAATACTTTACTGAAATATTTCAACATTTCCCATAAAGATTAGAAATTGGATAATTTAAAATTAAAAGTAGTGTTAAATTCTGAAATAAAATACTTACATGTAGATGTTCTGTCTTTTTTTCATATATATCTTGACCCACTTGTAAAAACTTTAAGGGTACTGTACAGAAATAAAGTAGAGAAAACAGTTGTGATGGTCAGGTAATTTCATTCTAGGTGGTGGACAAATACAGTGTTGAGAGGAGTATGCCATAAAAGTTAATGTATTAACTGCAGAACTCAAATCTTGGGATAAAAAAAAAAATAGCTAGGGATTTGACAACTCATGTGATAAAGGCTTTAAGAAAGAAAGTAAATGTCTGCACCAGGGATAAAGTAAACCCAATTTGGGATCCCAGATGGAACTTTTTATGTACCTTTATACATAAAAACTTCTTAAAAGATATTGCTGTGTCTTTTTGCTGTTGAAAACAAGTATGTTTTCTGGAGTTTCATGTCTGAATCCATGTCTTAATTTGGGCTTTGTATTCACCCCAGAAGTTGTATTTCTGTAACTCTACAGGTATTGGAGGGGACTGTGCAGCTCCCACAGTGTGAGCGTTACTGTTTTGAGGAAGGTGATTTTTTTTTTTTTTAGAGGAAAAAGAGTGAGTTAATACTATTTATACCCAAGGATAATTAGCACGTTATCTCATTTCTAGTCAGCAAGTTCAAATGCAGACTAGCATCTAGTGCAGCTTGTGACGTTTTTATGGTGCTTGTTTGAATATATACTATTATACTACTTATCGTATAATTTAAGCACCTGCATCTCCTTTTTGATGCAAAAATTACTTTTTTGATTGAGACACCTTTCATTTATTATACAGAGGAACAGTGGTGCTATGTCACAGGTTAGACCTCTGTATTATACCTCTGCCTCGTTCACTGCAGGAAAGCATACCAGAGTTACTGGAATGAAATCTCTATTTCTGTTGTTCACTGTCTAGGTCTTATAATGTGTAATCCAGTCCACCAAACAAACTACTGATGTTTTTCCAGTAAATTTTGGTGACATTTATCATGATTCTATATTGAGTGCTTCATAAGTGATACTGAACTTGTCTATGCAGCTGTTATGTCTGTTTTCTTTTGGTCTTGATTTCCTCTCTGTATTGTAGTGAAATTATTTTTAGGTTTTAAGTTTGAAACACTGAAGGGCAACTTTTTTTTTAATCACTGCTTTTCACAGCATTTTTTGCTTACTGTGATTTCAGATGCATCTGTCAATGACATATGTCCAAATCTAGACCATGGTGCCATAGGTTGTAGTCTAATAAGCTAAAGAATGTGTAAATGAAACTTTTCACAGGTTTTCTCTTCTAGGTGGCATTCAATTGCCCATATCCATGAGACCATCCAAAACCCAATAAGTATGTTAAAAATAGAAATGAGCATTAGAATGTCATAAATTCAATTATAAGAATTCCTTTAAGGGGAATTCTTATATGTAGGGTTGTTTATCCACCACATTCCCATGCCTCAACTTTGTTGATTATTTTAAGGCCTATCAATGTGTGTAGGGAGATTCACTCTGATTATAACATCCTGAAAAGTTGCAGTTAAATTTTAGTGTTTTAACTATTATTTTCTTTCTTCTTCCTTCTCTGAGAATATTTAGTCTTTATGTGCCTAATGCTACTCCTTTTCTGGACAATAGAGTGGACCTTGTCTTCTAAAGAAACCCTTCTTTTAGTATTTATTGCTCTTCTTAAGCTTCTTGTATAATCTCTGAGAGTCTTGTAGAATTTCTTTCCTCCTAGAACAATGTACATCGTCCTTGTATCTGCGGCTATCTTACCACAGAATATGACTTACTGGGGCTCCCATACGTCCAGCAGAGTGAAACGCTTGTAGTATGTTGTGTGCTTCAGGGACAAACACAAGAATGAACTTGATGGGCTCTAGCAAGGATGCTTACCAACCTCCTCCCAAAGAGCATAAAAAAAGAGCTTATTCTCAGGAAAGCTCCTTAATGAAGGAGTATCTTGAAATTATGTGGTGTTGTCTGAATGCCCGTCTGCAAGTGAGACTGTTGCTGTGGGTCCTGAGTGATGACTTTCTGAAAGCAAGCATGTTTGGTTTAGTTAGGTGCTGATGACACTGATACCTATGTAACTATCTATATTTTCCCTGTCTTTCCAGGAGCAGTTGGCAATGAATTTTTCACACTCTTATTCCATGGACATTTTAACTTGGTATTGATGCTCTGGCTGCTTATTCTTCCCATCAAGCAGAGAAAACAACTTCTGTAGCTGAGAAGTGCAGCATACTAGGAAATTCATCCGTCTTAAGATTAATACGGCTTTCTCCTCCCTGACGTTTTGCTGGGTCAGTTTTAACTTGTATAATTTTCCTGTCCAATTAACCACACAACTATTTTGATGGCATAAGTGTGGGACTGAGACAAGAAGCAACTGGCAGTAAAGAGAAAGGCAGGATTGCTCCTTTTGATGGTAGTGCTGGCTTACAAAAGGTTAAATTGTTCATAAAACTGCAGTGTCTGAAAGCCAATTTTGTATGCCAGAAAAAATGGTACTTTCATTTTCCTTAATGAGAATTCTTAAAAGTACTCTTCAGTATTACGATTCCTCTGCTGCTTAATTTCACAGGTGCACTCCGAGTCTACTGAAGTGATTTGCCTTCTCCTCCCTTTTCTTGCTACAGAGGATCTTCTTTTGCATTGTCGTGCCTCTTGCTCGCTTTGTAGCTGGATAAATTAATGCTTCTTTTATATACTCCTGAATGTTCTTAGTTCCACTTTTAGGTATTAGATGGTGTAACATCTGAGGAAAATAGCTTTCTTTTTTTAGTTTATGTTCCTTTGTTTGAAGTCACATCTATGAAGATCAGTTTAAGAGAAAGCATGAAAGATACAAGAATGTATTTTTTTACATCAGTTATCAGATTGTCTGGTACATGAACTAGATAACTGATTGCTTGCAAACATCATAAAGGTATTTGCTGTTGGCTGTGTAGGACGTAATTCCATATTACATTATTTTTGCGGCAAAGGAACCACTTTTTTTTTCCTCTTCCACTTATATCCCTGTGTTATAGCTTACCACTCTTTCAGTTACATCAGCACAACTCTTTTTTTTTTTGAAGTTGTGCAAATCAGATAATGAAATGTTTTCAACTAAACTAAGCGAACTTACTTATCTCTTATCACTCAGTTGTAATCCACATTATAAACAGTTCCATTGTTACACTAAGGGCTAAATATACTGCAGCATGGGAATGGAAAAACATTTTGAAGAGGTAGGGATGACTGAAAGTGGGGGTTTTCTTGCTTGGTGTGGTGGTTTTTGTCTTTTTTTTTTTTTTTTTTTTTTATTTTTAAACCAACTAGGTTTGCCACTGGAGAAAAAGTAACATAAAAGTATACCATTGGTTACTTCAATTGCACTGTAATTTTTAGAAAATGCTTGATTTATCATACAAGAAATTGATGAATCTTATGATTCTACTATGATGTTTTGAATACTCTATTTATACCGACACTTAACCAGAACATTGCTTTTTTTTATTATCTTGCAAAGTTAGGTGAAACTTTCCATCAGATTAAATTTAGAGGGCCTTTTAACTTTTGAAATAAATTAAAACCATTTATACTTCTAAACACTTTAAAATGTTATTTAGTAGAACAGTGAGTAATTTGATCCTTAGCTAAAAGGACATAATTCAAGACCTATGCAGCAAATGTTAGAGGATTTGCGGCAAGGTGAGCCCCTACATTTGTGGGAGATGAGTAACACTTTTGGGACCTTTTTTATTTAAATCTTGTATGGGAGAACATTTGTTGATAGCGTAATCTTCTAGTTTTGGGTGTTTACACTCTAGTTTGTTTGAAAAATCTGATACTTTCTCCTTGTTTCTTCTTGAATTTCAGGTCCCAGCCAGGTACACCATCATCTTTATTGCTGTGCAGTACAATGTCACCTATACCACTGGTGAGATGAAATCAAACCTTGTAATGCCAGAGCTCAACTATTAAAAATTACTCTTTTTTTTCTTCTCCTCTCTTCCCCTCAAGACTTCAATACACTTGACTTTCATAATACACTAGAACTCTCATATTTGTCTGTCTGCTTTTGGATTTACTAATACTCTATTCACTGAAACATTCTAGTGTTTTCTCTGTTGCTTGTGAATAATACCGGGTTATTTTTCCCATAGTTAACACTGTTACTAACTTGCATTTCATTGTGAAAAGCATGCATTCTTTCCAGTTTTTGATACAATCAACAGGAGTTATCAAGTAGCAGAATATTTTGGTAATCTTATATATATATATATTGCTTATTCATTATTTCTTATGTAATTAGTAATGGATTTGTGGTTTATATTTAAAAAAAAATCACAGTATTATTCTCAAGTAACTTATGTTGCTGATTCATTCATGCTTTTAAATAACTAAGGGAGAAAGTACTGATTCTTTTTTTCCCCAAAATACTTCCTTTTTTTAATCTTTTGTACCTGCTGCACTATATACAAGAGTGGTAAGCAGCTGGTGGAAATTCCTTATTTGATAACTTAATTTTTCTTAGTAGTATTGATAACTTTCAATTCTTTCCAGGAATCAATCTGCACAATGTCTTGGAAAGATAGGTACTGTGGTAGAATTATTCCAGATGGGGAACTAAGGTCCAGAGAAATTAGCAAAATCCATGACTTGTGTTCTAATCTTGACTTCCAAACTTGAGACCTCTGTGCTGTGACTGTTCAAAATAATGCACTGATTAACTTTGCTTGCAGTAATGAATATGTATAATTTTTTTGCAAATGTTTCCCCAGATGTTTGATGTCAAACACTTGAGGTGTACACAGTCAGTGGACTTCTGTTTTACTGATATTTGAGCAGCATCAAGTAGAAATCTATAGCGGAGACAAAGGTAAAATCCATGTGTTGGTTACCAAGATGCCTGTGATGTGACTTCTTTGTAGTATTTGGTGCATGCATGTGTATGTATGTATGTGTATATATATACATACAATGGAATGAACAAGGTTTAGCTTCCCTTAGTTTTAATAGGAGGTGTGGATGAGTTCTGCACAAGCAATTTTGAGGTCTTGAAGCAATGGATACGTTATTAGCGAAGGTTCATTTTAAAAAACAGTGCTGGAGACCAGGCAGAAATAGCATTTGTAATGCAATTACTTGTTCACTGGTGATATCACAAGCTACTTTCAAGCATAGAACTAGGACATCTGACACTTAGAGTTATGTGGCTATCCTGTGCGTTAGGACCTTAATGTACCATTCATGTTACAGGAAGCAGTAATTGCTTTCTTGACACTTCCTAACCTAGTTTCCTTTAGGAAAAAAAAGTTGTTTGATGTCTGTATTTTGGCTGGTTTGTGTTTCGACAACAAAGAGTTTGACAAAGGGTAGAAGTCTTAAAGATGAGAAAATTTCTTGATGTTTATGAAAAGTGGTGGCTGTATAGATAAGACATCCAAATTAATGCCCTCTCTTCAGTGGAAGCAGAAGAATGTAAATGTTAGACATGCTAGCCCGTAAATTAGGATGAGCGTGGCTCTTCATTAGTTGTAGCACAAGTCCTTTCTTTTCCATTGCAGTGTGTCAGATGCATAAAGAAAAGTGAGGTGGTTGTAATGGGTGTTTCTGGGCCAAAGGAGAGACATCTCTACAAAATAAGGCTTCCTTAGGTCTACTGCTCCTGATACGTGCTTTATAAAATTGAATTTAATTTTTAAGTTCTCCCACACTTGAACACAGTAAATACAAACATTTGAAGTATTTTTGTAACAGTGTAAATGTTCTTGTTTGGGGTTGGGTTTTTTGACAATTTTGTTTTTGAATAAGAATGTACTGCTAATCCTGGGGAAGTTGTTACTTACCAATGTATTGAACTACATATAGTCATGCTTCGTAAGATGGAATCGCATTTGGTCTCTACTGAAGTATAAAGGATGGGGTGTTGGTGTGTTGTTTGGGGTTTTTTCCTTCTTCCTTTTTTCTTTTTTTTTTTTTTTTTTTTTTTCTCCTCTTTTTTGATGGCCTACATGAAAGAAGTGGATTGAAGCTACAGCTCAGCATATACTGCTCTCAGTAGTGTGTTCTAGGCTTATAACTATATCACTGTGCTGAAGGAGAAGAAGATCCAAGTTATCTAATCGTGCACAGAAAGTAATTTTCAAAACCATAAAACTTATAACTAGTATCCTGTATCAATTTAACATAACATCCAAAACCAATGGTCACTGCTGCCCTTTCTCAGTTGCACAGAGTACTCCTTCATAAGAATGTAAAAATACCCCCTCCCCCCCCCCCCCTTTTTTTTTTTTTTTTAGATGACAAGAGTGAGCAATTTCATTTTTATGACTATGGTCCAAAAGACATTGCCACAATCTTCTACATGCTCATAGCTATTAATCTGCATGCTGTAATCCAGGAGTACATATTAGATGTAAGTTTATTACTGGGTTATAATTTACTTTTATAAATATTATTTTTAGCTATCAGTTGCTAACAGTTCTTCTTCAAGATAAGTGTAAGACATGATAGAAGGAATAGTTTAGCACTTAAAAACCCTGTTATGATTGATCCTTTTGTTCTTTGACAAAAATGCAAATAGACCTTGGTTTAGTGGTAGACTTGGTAATGTTAAGGTAACAGTTAGGCTTAATGATCTTAAGGGTCTTTTCCAACCTTAATTATTTTTATGTTGATATTTTCTCAATTTACTAATGGTATAAACCACTGAATCTTTCTTTCAATCAATAAAACTTTTATTTTTCTGTATAAATGTTCATGCCCTGCTCAAAATATCTGTGAATGAGGTCTGCTGCATTAGATTCATAAGAGATATCCAGAAGTTAAAAAATGAAAATTACTGCAGTGGTAGATTTCTGTTCGTCAGCTGAGCTTTGCCTCAAAGAGGGAGCTCAAACTTCATTGTGTGCTCTTTTACACCAACTCAGTTGCAAAGTAAAATGAATTTGTTAAAGCCATTGTGAGAGCCATCTGTTACTGAATGGTCTTGGAATGTTTTCACAAATAGGTCATCTGAGCCACAGCAGCTCAAATGGTTTTCAAGTGTGCAAAGAGGTTTGAAAAATTTAGCAATATAACTCTGATTATGGGGAAAAAATATATTAATACATTATCTGAATATTTTCCATGTGAACTTTACCATAGTGGCAAGTCTTATTGAAGCTAATTATCATACAAAGTGCTGATCAAGGTCTTAAATGCTAGGAGCTGTGTATTTTGATTGAGGAATGGGAGATTTGGGAAGAGAAATAAAATAGAAAAAAAAAAAAATCAGGAGTGAACACTGACTCCCAAATAGGTTTCTGGTTTTAGAAATTACGTTTATTGATCTTTTGTTTCTAGAAAATTAATAGACGTCTGCATTTGTCAAAAACAAAGCACAGCAAATTCAATGAATCGGGACAGCTAGCATTTTTCTACTTGTTTTCATTTATATGGGGAGCAAGCATTTTGAATACAGTAAGTCAGTCACTCTATTTGCTAGTTTTATTTTAAAAAAATAGGCTTAAGGTGTTAAGAAAGTCCATAAATGAATGGAAGAATTAATGATGAACCCAACCTCACTCTGGAAAAAAAATAGACTTAAGGTGTTAAGAAAGTCCATAAATCAATGGCCTTTTTATTTAGGAAGAATTAATGATGAACCCAACCTCACTCTGGAAAGATTATCCCCATTCTCATATGCTGTAAGTGTTCTATTTTCAATTTGAAAAAACCTGGCACTTCTAACCGCTGAGTATTTAACCATCCCAGATTTTAGGGAACCACTAATAAGGTAGTGACATTGGTACCTTATAAGAATGACAACTAGATGGAAATACTTTCTTCTGTTTGAAAACTGCTGGCTGTTTTATCCAAAGATATTTTTTGATTAATTGAACATCTAAGAGATACTTATGTGTTCTTACCTTTCTTTAACCATAGTAGCTGAGTTAAAGTGAAAGTGTTTGCAATATGGAATATATGTAATAGGACTGGTGAACTGTTTCACATTACAGAAACATGTTTGTTGGAGACTAAATTTTCAAATTAGAGGGGATTTATAGCTTGATTTATTTTATTTTATTTTTTAAAAATTAAGATAACTTGTAAAATTGTGCTGTTTGTCTGGGCCCCTCCCCCTGGATTTTCTTTGGCAAGTGTGATAGAGGGAAAGGGGATAATATGCTCTTTTAGGAAGGGAGTTCCACTGCTCACAGGATAAACTGTTCCTGTGTGTTAGGCTTTTGGGTGTTTTTTCTTTACTACTGTCTCAAAAGGTGATTCAGAACTTGGTATGAAGAAGACTATGGATGCTAATTCAAAAAACTGCCACCACAGATTTGTTTAGTAACTGCGGTTCCTGTAATTTAGGAATCATAAACTATAATGACTCAGAATGAGTTAATTTAAGATAATGAAATAAAATACTGTATCTCATGTTGAAAGCTTGAAAACTTATCTTGTGTTTTCTTAACATGAATTATTGTTTAGTTTTCAGGTAAAATTCTTCTATATTTGCCAGATAGCCTATTGGCTTCATGCAGTGCCGGAGCTATACTTCCAAAAGATCCGAAAGGTATGGAGGGAAGTTGTCAGTACAGTTAACTAAATATCTATTCTTTTCAAGTATTCATATTAATATTTTTGTTTATATTAACTATATAAATACATATTCATATTTATATATTCAGCTATTTACATACAATTTCTGTATTTTAATTGCTTGCATTTCCTATATACTGTAACAGTATTTATTATAATTTCTCTAATTTTAGGGAGATATTCCAAGGCAGCTATGTTATATCTGCCTTTACATTGCTCATATCTCTGGTGCCTATATGTTAAAGTATTTGCATGTCCATTTTTAATAGATCTATTTTCTTCAAAATTTCATTAACATTTATAACTTTTCTATTTCATAATTTGCAGCATCTGGGGATAATTCTGATGGTACCTCACTATTTAGTGGAACTCATTTTTCATGCCTCATGTCTCTTCTACTTCAGTGATGAAAACAAGCAAAAAGGGTAAATCTTGCACATATTCATTATAATACAGAACTTTGCGTAGTAATTGCATATAAATGAATTTGCATATATGTAAAAGTACTCAGGTAGCAAACAATCACTTGTTCAGTGTCCACTACTATCTGTTTTGAATTCACAAGCAAGTAATTGTCATTACATAGAGTCAAGGAAGCAAATACACTGATTATCGTAAGGTTTTGCTGAAGCTTTTGCTAAAGTCTCATCTCAGATATCTAGATATATTGGCTTCTGTTTCTTTAAGTTGTCTGTTTGCTTAAATGTTCATGAATGTTTGTATGTGAGGATGCTTGTTTTTAACAAGAGTTAATCAAATAAGTAATAAAGGCAGCATTCCCTGTAAGTTCTTGCAGGTCTCTCTTGGTAAGGTGAGAAAGGGAAGTAACTATACAACACAGAAGATAGTGTCTCAAAATGTGTAGTTGATAAGGTGTATTGTTATACATTTCTTGAGGAAGATTCTCAACTATTCTGAGAATTAATGGTTATAAAAGTAATGGATTTGAGAATGGAAGGCAATGAGGGACCAGGATATTTAACTGTGAGGCATGCTAGGAAGGATTGGATATGTTTCACCATTTGAATGTGAAGACTTTTGGAGATTCCATTTTGAACAAACCAGCCTTGTCCCATTTATGTGTTCTTGTCTCTTATTCTTTCTTCCTTTTCTGAGTGACTGCCCAGCTGGAAGAGATTATCATGAGCGCCTTGCTTTCTTTCATGCCATCTCTTGTATATAGGCAGCCTCCCTTAAGGCAGTGTAATGCTGCTGCTCTTTCTGGTCTTTTCACAAGGCTCATTTGCGTTGCTCCTTAAAGCTAACATTTTAAATAGGTATGTTGAATGTTCTTTGCAAAAAATCAATGTTTACTGATGCAAATAGGGAAAGTGGGAGAAAGTTAGCTTCTGTTTCACTTGTATTTCATATTTAATTGTGAGGTTTTTTTGAGGTATGAGCTTATCTGCTCTTCATTCTATGCCGTCCAAAAGCATGAATGCTAAATGTACTGATTAGGAGAATGTATTTTCCTGACTCTAATGGTCAGATAAGCAACTATGTCTGTCTTTGGCTGGAAATCAGTTATCCCATGTGCAATATTACCAGCATTTAAACAACTGGAAATGGAAATTGGTTTTCATAGCTGATGAACTGCAGAAGTATTTGGGGCATTTTATTTCTATTACATGTAGCACTTATAATGTAAACTGTAGAAACAATGCAATGTCAAACACTAGGTATTTTTCCTACCTCAGAATTTATTCTTTCTTCTTACAGTTCTACATGCAGACCTTGTAGCTTTTCTCTCTTTTTTTGGAGGAGGGTGTGAAGACAGTTGCCTTTTGAGCAGTCTTGCTTATACTGTGAAAGATTTGAAGTATGTTTTCTTTAAGTTTGAAATTAGTTTAACAAGCTGATTTTTTTAACAGAAATTTTGGAAAGATACTTTTTTTCGCATTGATAGTGGTTTTTTTATTCCATTCATCAGTCACATGATATGAAGTCTTTTTGCTATGGAAATCTCTATGTAATGGCAGTAATAATCCACATTTTCTAAATTCATTATTGCCAGTTTAATAAAACTGTTCTTCAGGGTTTTTTTTCCACATCCTATAGGAAAAACTTCTAGATGATGAAAATCTGCAGGATGGTATCTTTTTATGTTAGCTGTAAAGTCAAATAATTGTCACTTGTTACTTATTAGCTCTCTGATTAGCTTTTCTTCTTGTCCTAAAAACATCTGGTTATTCGAAATTACATATATTATCTTGATCTTCCAACTGTTTAATAAATGTATATTATACCTTTAGCGTCAGCTTTCTGGCTTTATGGCATCACCATTACTTATAAATGGCTTACAGCATGAATGCCAACTTGAGATGCATCTTTTTACTTCATTGTGCTTTCTAGTCAAAAGATTGTGTAATGAGGCGGGACTGAATGTTTGCAGATGACCAATTTTTTCTGTAATTATTGGTCCTCAATGTGGACATTTCCCTATTGTTGCTGAGAGAATTTTAATGGAAAGTTCTTTGTATGTTTGACTTTATTAAAAAGATTTTTTATTAAAACAATCCAGGATGATAATGTGTTTTGAAGAATTTCCCAGGTGGTATTTTCTTCTCAAGTATTTAAGGGAAGGGAAATTTTGTTCTCTTTTCTATCTTCTTTTCACAAAGGTAGTAGAACAGAATTTATGGAAAATAGAAAGAAAGAAAAAGAAACTTTTTTTTTAATTAATTGTTGATGATTATTGAAAAAGCCTGGGATAATAATCTCATTAAACTTTTATTTTTCCTATGTCTATACTGGACAAAGTATAATTTGGCAATATTAAGAGTTTTCTTTAAGTTTGAAATTAGTTTAACAAGCTGATTTTTTTTAACAGAAATTTTGGAAAGATACTTTTTTCGCATTGATAGTGGGTTTTTTATTCCATTCATCAGTCACATGATATGAAGTCTTTTTGCTATGGAAATCTCTATGTAATGGCAGTAATAATACCAATTTTCTAAATTCATTATTGCCAGTTTAATAAAACTGTTCTTCAGGGTTTTTTTTCCACATCCTATAGGAAAAACTTCTAGATGATGAAAATCTGCAGGATGGTATCTTTTTATGTTAGCTGTAAAGTCAAATAATTGTCACTTGTTACTTATTAGCTCTCTGATTAGCTTTTCTTCTTGTCCTAAAAACATCTGGTTATTCGAAATTACATATATTATCTTGATCTTCCAACTGTTTAATAAATGTATATTATACCTTTAGCGTCAGCTTTCTGGCTTTATGGCATCACCATTACTTATAAATGGCTTACAGCATGAATGCCAACTTGAGATGCATCTTTTTACTTCATTGTGCTTTCTAGTCAAAAGATTGTGTAATGAGGCGGGACTGAATGTTTGCAGATGACCAATTTTTTCTGTAATTATTGGTCCTCAATGTGGACATTTCCCTATTGTTGCTGAGAGAATTTTAATGGAAAGTTCTTTGTATGTTTGACTTTATTAAAAAGATTTTTTATTAAAACAATCCAGGATGATAATGTGTTTTGAAGAATTTCCCAGGTGGTATTTTCTTCTCAAGTATTTAAGGGAAGGGAAATTTTGTTCTCTTTTCTATCTTCTTTTCACAAAGGTAGTAGAACAGAATTTATGGAAAATAGAAAGAAAGAAAAAGAAACTTTTTTTTTTAATTAATTGTTGATGATTATTGAAAAAGCCTGGGATAATAATCTCATTAAACTTTTATTTTTCCTATGTCTATACTGGACAAAGTATAATTTGGCAATATTAAGACCCATAATTTTTTAACTAATTATTTGTTTGGTGCATTCCTAAAATATTTTTGATGTATTTTCATTGTTGCTTGTTAATTTTAAAATTTTAATTATTTCTTCAGAGTAAGCTCATCACTTTAACACTCATCTTTATAACTTAATGCCTGTAATCAAATGTGCGGGAGGGATTTTGAACCTACATGATTTCTCATTCATAGATTGCTTGGCAGAAGGGACCTCAATGACAATTTCCTATCAGCCATTAAAAGCTGTGGTCATAACTCCTTGATAACCATGATTGCTTCTAGCAATATACTTATACGATTTCCATTCACTTCTTGTGTGACATTCCTTGTCTTGGGTAAAGCCTTCTGATACATCTGTTTTCCTGTGGTATGAAGATTTTAATTGTTTTGATAGTAGACTTTCTGAGAAAAAATAAAATAGGTACAAATTTGCAGTGTATTAATGGTTAACTGAAACATTTATCTAACTACCTCCAAAATCTCAAATCTTGTTAGGATTGACTGCCTGGGTGCTGTTTGTCTAACACAGGCCTGGATGATGTGGAAATGTATAAATTTTCAGCTGAAGAAGTGGAGAGAGCATGTTAAGAACCAGATTCCAAAGAAAAAAATAACTAACACAAAGAACAAACAAACAAAAAAAGGAACCAAACAGAGGTTGGTGGTATAATATATTTTAAAGTTATTTCTAGGCCAAATGTTTTTATACCAGATATATCATCTTATATTTATCTTGTCTGTAGAAGAGCAAAACCATCTGTCTTTTGACATGCAGAGGATAAAGATAATATTATAGCCTCTTCAAATGTTAGGGCATGTTCTCTAATTCCATATTGCTAACAGGACAGCACACAGAGTGCTAACTGTATTAAGTGTTAGCCCTGGGTAGTCTTCAGGATTATTAACACAGTGTTCAGTGAATCTAAATGCAAGGGATGTTTCATGACACTGGGCTTAATGATTCCAGGGGTTTCTTTCCGTTTTAAGTCAGTCTTTTACAGTGCTGCTAAAAATTTTTTTGATTTAACATGGCAGGGTGGGTGTGGGTGTGTGAGAAAAGCATCTTCCAGAATCCCTACAGTATTTCATAAATGCTGCTTCTGTTCTATTTCAGACCATTAAAATTAAGTTTGTTTGTTCTTCTATATAAAGACACATAATGTGAAGAACATCAGGCCCACTGAAAAAGAACTCCAAAGGAACATCATAATAGTTGGCAAAAGACAGCTAATGGTGAAAGGCTTTTAATTAAATGATGTTGCATTGTTATATCCAACGTTATATCCATTAAATGAGTTAAATGGGAGTTGCAAAGATTTGGTGGAGTGAAATTTCATGTTCCTGTTAGCATATACATAAAACACTGCATAGAGTTATGTATGAAAGATTGGGAATTGCTTCTGAGATTGGGTAGAGGTTTGAAAAATGCAGTTTCATGGGAACCTGGGACAAATGGTGAAGGAATAAGGTGCACAAATAGTGTTCTCCTCTATCATTCCTATTACAGGGAACGATGAGGGAAGGAACAGGAAAAGCCAGGAAATAAATACCTGGCTCTGAGCCTGGTGTGAGGAGCAGAACTCTGGGTTTTTGACCATGGGTTGGCCTATACAACATCAGGTCTGCTGGCAAATTATGGGGGTACACCTGTCTTCAGGGGGCAAAAGGATGCTTACCAAGAAGTTAGCAGGGCTCATTGAAAGAGCTTTAAACTAGATTTGAAGGGGGAGGAGGATGAAACCAGGCTTGCTAGAAATAAGGCTGGGGATGGCACGCCAATGTGAGGGACAGTGTGCTAATGAGGTCCTTTGGTCTGTCACCTCAGAGGAAGTGCCAGATGGTAATCCAAGTGGCAGCAAAGGTGCAAAGGTCATTGATGGGTTAGGAACAACTGCGATTAGTCACTTAGGAATTCAGAATTCTCCTCTCAGAAGAGTGGCGGGATCAATAGCCCAATTGAAGTGCATCTATACCAATGCCCATAGCATGGGCAACAAACAGGAGGAATTAGAAGGCATTGTGCAGCAAGAAAACTATGCCACCACAGAAATTTGGTGGGACAACTCATGTAATTGGAGTGCTGCCATGGATGACTATAAACTCTTTAGGTGGGATAGGTGAGGAAGGAGAGGCGGTGGGGTAGCCCTGTATCTTAGAGAGTGTTTTGATTGCCTTGAGCTCAATGATGGTGATGATAGGGTTGAGTGTTTATGGGTAAAAATCAGGAGAAAGGCCAACAAGACAGATACCATGGTGGGAGTCTGTTATAGACCGCCCAGCCAGGAAGAAGAGACAGATTAAATATTCTACAAGCAACTGGGAGAAGTCTCACAATCGCTAGCCCTTGTTCTTGTGGGGGACTTCAACCTACCAGATGTTTGCTGGCAGTACAATACAGCAGAAAGGAAAGAGTCTAGGAGGTTCATGGAGTGTGTGGAAGACAACTTCCTGGCACAACTGGTGAGTGCCTCGCTTGACCTGTTTGTGAACAGAGAAGACCTTGTGGGTGATGTGGTAGTTTGAGGATGCCTGGGGCACAGTAATCATGAAATGACAGAATTTCACTTCTTGGAGAAGTAAGGAGGGGGGTCAGCAGAACTGCCACCTTGGACTTCTGGAGGGCAGACTTTGGACTGTTCAGAAGGCTGGTTGACAAAGTCCCTTGGGAAGAAGTCCTAAAGGGGAAAGGAACCCAAGAAAGCTGGACACTCTTCAAGAAGGAAATCCTGGAGGTGCAAGAGCAGGCCATCCCCATGTGCTGGAAGATGAGCAGGTGGAGAAGAAAAACTGGCCTGGCTGAACAGAGAGCTTTGGCTGGATCTCAGAAAAAAAGAGGAAAGTCTATGAGCTTTGGAAGAAGGGGCAGGCATCTCAGGAGGACTACAAGGATGTTGCAAGGAC